GTTGACTAGTAGAAAACAAAGAGTAGGGGTTAATGGGTGTTTTTCTGGTTGGCGGTCAGTGGCTAGTAGTGTGCCTCAGGGATCAGTGTTGGGACCACAATTGTTTACAATTTATATAGATGATTTGGAGTTGGGGACTAAGTGTGGTGTGTCAAAATTTGCAGATGACACTAAGATGAGTGGTAGAGCAAAGTGTGCAGAAGACACTGAAAGTCTACAGAGGGATATAGATAGGCTAAGTGAGTGGGCAAAGGTCTGACAGATGGAGTACAAATGTTGATAAGTGTGAGGTCACAGCAAAATGGACTATGTTTTAAATGGTAAAAAATTGCAGCACGCTGCTGTGCAGACAGACTTGGGTGTCCTTTGCATGAATGGCTAAAAGTAGGATTGCAGGTGCAACAGGTAATTAAAAAGGCAAATGGAATTTTGTCTGTCATTGCTAGAGGGATGGAGTTTAAAACAGGGAGGCTATGCTGCAGCTGTATTGGGTCCTGGTGAGGCCACACCTGGAGTACATTTCTGAAGAAGGGTCTAGGCCCGACACGTCAGCTTTCCTGCTCCTCTGATGCTGCTTGGCCTGTGTGCATCCAGCTCTATACCTTGTTATCCCGGAGTACTGTGTGCAGTTTTGGTCTCCTTACTTGAGAAGGGATAGACTAGCACTGGCTGGGGGCGGGGTGCAGAGGAGATTCACTCAGTTGATTCCAGAGTTGAGAGGGTTGGATTATGAGGAGAGACTGAGTAGGCTGGGATTATACCCATTGGAATTCAGAATAAGGAGGGGAGATCTTATAGAAACATATAAGATTATGAAGGGAATAGATAAGGTGGAGGCAGGGAGGTTGTTTCCACGAGCAGGTGAAACTAGGACTAGAGGGCATCGCCTCAAAATAAAGGGAAGCAGATGTAGGACTGAGGTCAGGAGGAACTTCTTCACCCAAAGGGTTGTGAATCTGTGGAATTCCCTGCCCAGTGAAGTGGCTAAAGCTACCTCGCTGAATGTTTTTAAGGCAAGGCCAGATAAATTTTTGAACAGTAAAAGAATTAAGGGTTATGGTGAGCAGGCAGGTAAGTGGAGCTGAGTCTCAAAAAGATCAGCCATCAGCCATGAGCCATGATCTTATTGCATGGTGGGGCAGGCTCGAGGGGCCAGATGGCCTACTCCTGCTCCTAGTTCTTATGTTCTTACGTTCTAAATGTCAATTTTCTGTTTGTTTGATTCTCAGTTTCAACAATTATTTTTGATGTCAGCCATTCAACTGCAACTGCATCACTACGGTGACACTGAGCTAAGGGATCAATTTCCATCATCAATACATCCAAAATATTGCAGTTACTTGCTAACTAGTTTTATCAACTCCCAAATTTAAAAAAATAATTGTGATATGGCATTTATTCAGCAGAATAAACACATCACTCAAGACTTTGTTCCTTTTGTAATCTGGTTTACTTGTATCGAAGTCACTTTGCAATATGACATTCCATGGGACCCTTCATGTGACAATACGGAACTAACAAAAAGATGAAGTGAGAAGAGGAACCAGGATACTTGACCTGTAATGCAACAATTTGTTGCAAATTAAATTTGTGATCAAATGAATCTGTAAATGTTTAAGTAACTTCATTACCAGAAAATAGGAGGCAATGAATGTAAAAGTAGTAATGAAAATTTTGAAAGTGTCAGACAATAAATGAAAATCTTGCATCAAAACTATTTGTTTCATCCCCCAACAATGGCTTGGTAAACAAGTAAAGCAAGGTTAAACGAATATCCTTTCACAGATTAACACGGCAAACCTTTTTATTTCAACTGTACATAGTACCATAGCAAACAAAGAACCACATAAGTCTGTCAATAAATACATTAATTGTTTGATTCATGTTACATAGGAGATTTCACACAAGTCCATGCACACTAATCCAGACATCTCATTGAGCAGAGGTATCCCAAGAAAACAAATGTCATTCATTATTCAGGCGCATTATCTAACCATTTAAAATATTCTAATCAGTATACACATATGCTTGTTTGTGCTTTACAGATGAAAAACAAGACAGGACAATCTTTACCCATTTTGTGCAAAACTGTCTGCAATTTTAAAAATATTATTTCAGCTAAAAAGTTTCCATGAATAACTCAGTAATGATTACTTACTAAACCTCTAGGATAAATGTTATGCACAGGTGAAAACTCAAAATTCAAATATCAAACATTGGTTCCCAATGCAATTGTTTTTAATCGCATCCTAGCACATTACTCCCAGAAATGTGCTTGTTCCATATTCACATATTGTCAAAGTTATTAAAATGTGGTCTGAGCTTATAAGTTATAAGTATTCTAATAATCTTGGTTTCTGGAGTTTTCAGAAAAGAATAAAAAGTTTAAATGCAAGAAACCAAACAACCATGAAACATCAGGATGGAATATGTATAGCTTGCTATTAAGTTAATAAATGAAAGCAAGAATATAAGCAACAAGTGACAAGGGGAAAAGAGAGTGTAGAAGGCAAAAGAGTTGCAGCCAAGGTTGCTACAACCATTCCCCATTCAAAATGTTTCCTTCCTTTTCTCCTTAAATACTTATTTACCTCAAAGAAGCTCTGTTCATGTTCATATTCAACTTGAAGGAAGAGATAATCTTTCTGCCTTTCCCTCACTCAACGCCCACTGTGACATCACAGAGATGTACAACACGGAAACAAACGCTTCAGGTCAACTCGCCCATGCCCCAGACATCCTAAATAAACCTAGTCCCATTTGCCAGCATTTGGTCCATATACCTTTAAACCGTTCCTGTTCATATACCCATCCAGAAGCCTTTTAAATGTTATAATTGTACCAGCCTCCATCAGTTCCTCTGGCAGCTCATTCCATACATGCACCACCTTCTACATGAAAATGTTGCCCCTTTGGTCCCTTCTAAATCTTTCCCCTCTCACTTTAAACCTAGCTTTGGACTCCCCCACCCCTGGAAAAAGACCTTATCCATTTCCCCTATCCATGCCCCTCATGATTTTATAAACCTCTATAAGGTCACCCCCTCAGCCTCCGATGTTCCAGGGAAAACAGCCTCACTCTATTCAGCCCCTCCCTACAGCTCAAACCCTCCAAACGTGGCAACATCCTGATAAATCTTTTCCAAATCCTTTCAACTTTCACAACATCCTTCCTATAGCAGGGAGACCAGAATTGCACAGTATTCCAATAGTGGCCTACCCAGCGTCCTGTGTAGCTTTTAGAAATTAGAATTTCTGTCACACATATCTAAGCCAATAAAACAGCTGAGACAATTAGTTGGTTTTAAAATTTAACTGGCATTATTTTCATCAAAGCAACATCACCTGGAGAAAAACAGCTTTTCTCCCATTTCCATCTTTCTCTGGGATTTGTAGAGTACAAATGGGGTGTGCATAATCAAAATGGTATCAATTTTCTCTCTCATCCTCTCTCACAGCTGCACCCATCTTTCAAAAATATATTAATTTTATCTCATTAAAGTTTTTTTAAATGTTTCATTTAGTTTTTCTTTAAATGATTTTGAAAACCTGTTGAGGAGCAGAAACTACAAACAAACAAAATAACTGAGTTTGGCTACAAAAGTTATACAGATACATCTTAGGTTATTAGATATGACATGTATGATCAGATTGCTTAATCCAAATTGAATTCTTGAAAATTTCAGAGCTTTGATGCCAAGTATAATGAAAACTTTGATCAAATTCCAAGATAAAGTTAATTGAAATATAATGACTGTGAAACTTATTTTTAATGTTGGTTAAACCCTTATTTTAGCAGTAAAAATGAGTAAAAGAAATTCAGGAACTATTTAGGTGAATTTTGAATATTTTTCAAATGATAAAACAATTATCTATTTGGTTGCATGATTCCTTGCATGATGTACACAATGTTTCACAAAACCATTAACTGAAATAATACTGCCTCATATTAATAGCTGTAATTCTGCATTCATCAATTAAGATAACATTTACCTTGGCAGGTGCCTTTTTGGTTCACACACCAGCACCAAGATAAACATTTTACAAAGGTCGTTATATTTATTTCAGATACTAATAGGTAACACACTTTTTCTGGCCTAAATCAGTGATTTTCTATACAACTGGCAACTTACATTTATATGGCACCTTCATCGACACCAACGTTCCAAGCTGCTTCAGATTAAAGTAAAGTAATTTGACAAAAAGCTACACCAAACCAAAGTACAAGACACTGGGACATGTGATTAAAAGATTGGTCAAAGAAATAGGTTTTAAGGATCAACAGAGAGATGGGGATGAAGGGTGTACTAATAACAGAAACGATGTGCTGTCATTCCCTGTGGTCATTTTGAGAAGCACAATCACTCAATAGGTCCTTCAAAAATTCTGATTCCCATTAAAGGGTCCCTGTAATATACTGACATTTAAATACCAGGGAAAACTCAAACCAAAACCCAGTATGTCTGATAAACAAAATTCTACGGTGACAGAATGAGCTTTTAGATCCAGAGAAGCCAGATAATGAAGGGTCACTGAACTTGAAACATTAATTTGGTTTCTCTCTCTACAAATGCCAGATGTGATCAGTTTCTCCAGCACTTCCTGTTTTTGTTTCAGATCACCAGCATCTGCAGTTCTTTGTTTTTATCTTAAGTCCAAAATGTTACATGCACAAGTAAGTTCATATGGAGTTGTACAGTAGGATGTTAGGAAGAGATGGTAGGACAAAAGTTCACTTTATGGTCATTGATTCTAACTTTCTAGTGTAATGCACTAGAGGTTTCCACTGAGTGCAGGAATGCCATCTTCTGCTGACAAGCAATATTCTGTGGGAGAGAACTGATTCAGTTAAGTTAAATTTCATTGTAATAACTGTTAATCTATTTGACAATATACAATAAAAATACTTTCCCATAAATTCTTACATACTTGAGCAAACATAGGAATTAGTTTGAATTTGCAACCAACTTTTAAGCAGTTAATATTAAAACACCATCTTACCAGTTTTGCTTCAGTTTGAGATGAGTTTTTGACTCCAGCAGTAGATATAACTGGTGAAACATCTGACATGGAAGACGACAACGCTGCTGTAGTACTGTCAATCCCAAGTTCATAACTTGAAGAACAGAGGGGCATAACAGGGAAGTTATGCCCATTCAAACCACTAGCTTTGTACTGCTCGTTGTTCTTTACTGAGCTAAACAACGCACCATTAGGTAGGCTTGTGCTGTGGAAAGTACCTGTGAGCTTAGCAGTCTTCTGCTCACTCTCATCAGAATCGAGTTTAGGAAAGGACAAAGATTTGATATTGCTGACAGTTGAAGCAGATGGGAGAGATACTTTGGCAGAGAAGGGCACTTTTTCACAGTTCTCCAACTGTGGCAAATCTATGAGGCCATTTGGCTTGTGAAGAGATTTGAAGTCTGAGGTAGCCTCCTCAGTTGAGGCCTGCACTTCTGAGCTTGGTGATGCATCTGTGGATCCCACAATGTGCACATCCAAGTCATTATCCAACTGTGAAATAATCATTGGTCGTGAACTTGCTTGAACTTCAAGAATATTTTTGAGTTCCTCCTTATCATTTAGCGTTTTCAACTCCAGTTTATCAAAAGGATCCTCTTCACTTTCAAAGTCTGCAAGATTGAATTTGGTTGTATAAGGAGGACTTGGGTCTTTTTGTGTTACAGTTTTACTATTCGCTGGCATTGGGGTTAGAATATTGTTGTGTCTTAGACTGGCAAGTATAGGGTTAATAGTCAGTGGAAATGCTGAAGAATGTGGTCCATCATTGTATTGGATTCCACATTTTTTCTCAGAGAATGCATCAGATTCAGCAGTCACCGAAGAAATTTCCCTTGTTAAACTAGCAGCCTCTTGCGCAGCTTTAATGTGTTTTATTTCTTCAGCCCATTTTATGGTCCTCTTCTCGAAAGAGAAATCATACTAAAAGAAAAGAAAGATCGCATTTTACAATAATAACAAAAGAGTAATTGTAAAGAACCATAGCCATAAAGCTTTTCATTAAACATGCCAGGAAAATTTCAAACACTTAGTAAAATCATTATTTTGGAAAACTAAGTGAATCATTGTGAAATATAAAAGGGCAACAAAGTTATTTTCAAAAAATTAGCAGTTCAGAAATTTGCTAACATGAAACCTCATTTGTTTTTTGCAATTTTAATTGTCAAGATATATGGAATTTCACTTATTTGAAATGCTATTGGAGAATGTGGTGCTCAGACTACTCTGCTATTTAACAATTTTATAAGCTTAAGATGACTTGAGTGCGGTGCGGAAAGACACCAACAGCATATATTCAATATTAATATTGGCTGTGGAAGGTCGTGGAGACCTACTCCTTTCCTTGCCCTGTGCTCAATGTGGAGTAGAGCCTCTCAAGCTATGTAACCCATTGTCTGTCTGACAGAGGTGCCTATGTTCCTTTGTGCACTATGATTAATTAGCTTACTGAAATCAAACTGAAATCCTATTTCAACACTTTCATCAGGTGGTCTAGCTGTGATAATGATGTTTCCACATTTGCAGCCCAACTTGGTCAATATGTCAAATCAGAATTTCAGCTGCAATAAACAAGTGCATGTAATGACAGTTGCACATTGTCAGGAGTGGAGACCAGATGGCAAGTTTAAGAACAGTTTCTGTCAGGTGCCTTTGTAATACATAAAGTACAGCAGTATAAAATAAATGAAGAACACGGCTCATGTCCATGATTCCCTACTTGATGTGATCAGGCCAATATGGATACTTACCAAACAGAACAAAGCAGAAACTTTCTCCAACAAAAACCAAGTCAGAATTGGAAGAAATAAAACGTCAAAAGGATTTAAATGATCCGCACTGGTTTTGTACACATTCTAGTGGATAGCTTGTTTGTGGAATAGATAATCAAAAGAGTCAGTAAAAGGTACAGGGATCAAGTACCTAAAGATATTTTTGAAATTTATGACAAAGAAAATCACTTCAAATTCATCTAAATTTTTGTTTCACATTTTCTTTTAAAGTTTTAGGAAGTGGTGTTCATTTTCCTCAAATGAGGAAAAACAGTAGCAATCCCCTGGTATAACAAGATGTAGAGCTGGATGAACACAGCAGGCCA